CCTGACATGACATTCCCCCATATCAACACATGACCGACTCCTCTTTGGCATTCTTGTCCCAGGTCACAGGGCTGACCTCCTCGAAACTTCCCTGGACTATTCCAGATAACATACACACCCCTGCCCCATCTCCATTTTTATGTTCTTTATAGCACTGGTGAGTATCTAAACGTGTCTCATGCACCCACATGTGTCTCCTTGTTTATTTTCTGGCTCTCGACAAAAAAGCAGACATTGTCAGTATTATTTATTAATGGGCCTCTGGCAACAGACCTCTGGCACCTAGTAGGTTTTCAAGAAATTTCTGTTTCTCCAAAGAGGGCAGTGTTGTTGACAGACCACATAAAATACAGTAAGTATTAAATCCATGTCAGTTTCTCCTCCTTGTGTAGGGCTCCAAAGCGAAGAAAGAAAATTCGGAAGGAAAGCAAGAAAGGAGACAGTCATCTAAGGCTAAGTCTGTGGGTTTCTGAGGTTTTGTTCTTTGCCTGGACCCATGGGATGCTTCCCAAGGGGTGGAATCTCAGATATCCCTCTTAGGAGACAAGTTTCAGGAAATGGGGCATTCTCTGCATGGAGAAAGAGGTTTTGAAAATAGGTGGAAAAATGTGATTCTGAGAAAAATCATCTGGAGAAATAGCTCACTGGAGTCTTATAAATGCTTTACAAAAACTTAAGATGGGAGGGAAACCAAGCACCATCATAGATTATAGACAAAAAGCCTGACCCAGAGGCTTACAGTTTTAGGCTGCAAAGAAGGCTCCTGTCAGGGGTATAATTATTCTATTATGGTATTATATTGTATATTATAATCATTATGTAATAATTATATTATAATATTAATGAGCAGAGATGAGGGATCCAAATCTACCCACTATGTTCCCCATTCTCCTTTGACCTATGTGCAGTGGGGCTCCCAGTAAACTTGTGTATGACAAAAGGATTCTCATTTGAAAATCTAATTCTTGTCCACCCTCTGCATTTAATATGTGAGTTGATGGAGGCACCAAGGATTAAACTCAAAAGCTGAAACCAGTACTCTGCCCCTGAATGTTGATGGCAGTCTTTCTGTTGCCCCATACTCAGAAGAGATTGAGCCTGGATTTCATAGTCACCTATTCTAGGCCTGACATCCTAGGGGCTCCTGGGAAAGGGAGCTAGACTCCAGACTCTTGGATGATTCGTGACGCCAAAAAAGGTTTCAGTAAGGAAGCACATCCTTAATAACCCAATCCAAGACCCCTGGATACAGGTGTCAAGCTGCCTTGAATGGCTTTTATAGCGTATGCCCTGGGAGTGGCTGGCTTGGATCCTTCCTGACCCTCTGCCCTTGGGATGACCATGTCAGAGGGATCTGTCCTAGTGCGTGAGGCCTTAACAAAGGTGCAGAAAGGGGGAAGCACATTATCTAAGGGTCCTGGGCTTCTGGCTTTGCCTTTAGGAGAACCTGATATTGGAAATGGAAAATTCTCCAGCTTCAAACACCCAAAGCTTCTAAGAGGTGGGCTGGGCTACCAAAGTTACAGAGAAGTTCCATAGAAGTGAGTCATGGGATTGACTTGGGCATTTTATTGTATATTGGTTTTGAGACTTAAGATTGCCCTCAACATATAATGTATCTGAATATGTACAGAATGTGTAAGTATAAACATATGTGTAATTTATCAATATTTATTAATAAATAGAATTTATCTATTACAAAAACAAGTCTACATAGGTTCCTGTTTTTCCCCAGAATGCATTTCTGGGAACTGCATCAAAAAAGATCATCATAAGGTCGAGGATGCTTTCCATAGAAACAGATAAGAGGGATTCCAGTACCTTCAAAGCTTTTGTTCAAATAAATCATAGGTACATTTAATAATTTTAGAAAACCAAAGATACAACCATCATTAAAATGTATAACCCTTTGCAAATTATATAATTAAGTTCATGTTCTATATAACAGGCCCACATATACATTACATGTTGATGACACAAACTACTCAGTGCATTATAAACGGTAGGAGTGGCCCCCGCCTTGTAATTCTACTTTCTTGAAAATGTAAACAAAATTTAGGTGGTGGCTAAAGACCATTAAGCCATAATTCACAATAATTTACATAGACTCTCAGATGAGAAAAAATAAATCTCCAAGTTATCTGGTTCAGTAGCTCAGTATATTCTTTATATAACAGTCTTTTCAGTTGCTCATTCATAATTAGTCCATGTTTGAGGTTTTTATTTTCACAGAATCTATCTATCTATATATATGTATATGTATAAATAGCATTTACAAGATGGGGATAATTTTGATGACCCAGGTCGTTTTTTCTCCAAATGAATGTTTTCACGGCAGCAAGGCATTTGAATTTATTTCATGTGACTTTGAGGTCACATGAAAGTGAGACTCATTCTGACCAAAATCAGTCTGTGACCGCCATCCCTCTCCACTGACTGTCCTCCTTCGAGAACAATAACATCCCTTCACATGAGAAGTGCCTGTAACGGATACATTTGCAGTGTGGGTGTGTGCAGCAGTCAGAGGAGGCAAGGACAAAGGTGGCAGAAAGAGCCCTGAAAGGTGCTCCCTCGGTATTGTATTTCAACACAGGAAGCTCTTTCTCTAAACTGGTTCACATTTTGGCGCAGAAATTCTTAGTCCTTGAGAGCCCAGGAGCATCCAAAGTAATCCAAAGTAATCATGACCATACAAAGTGGCGTTTTATGATGTATAAAATGTTTTCACAAAAACTATTTATCTCCACAACAACTTTGCAAAGTAGACAGGAGATATTCTTTCAGAGGCCAGAGAGGTTGAGGGTCACACAGTGAGTCTGCAACGATTTGGTGCCCATGGCGCTTCTCTGCTACATCCATCTTTCCCTCGAGCTCACAGAGGCGATGGGCAGCACGCGCAGCAGTCAGAGCAGAGACTTTGGCTGTCATCACAGGTTCGGGGCCTTGGGACTCAGAACCTGCTGCTCCCTCCTTTGTATTGTATGAAATCACCATCCTCAAGAGGGCCCTGAATGTAGTTGGCAGAGAACTGGGAAATGCGAAAGCCAAGGGGATTGGTCCAGCCAGAGTCAAGGTGCCAGTTACGACTTTACATCAACTTTCTTCCTACTGGTTGAGACTAGATCTCCAGTTCAATCTGATCTCCACTGATCAGCGAGAGTTCCGGTCTATACACAGAACTTTTCAGCGTTGGTGCAATATTTCAAACAGCATTCAGGAGTTCTATCTAAATGACATTTCTCTTTAGACACGTTTTTCCCTTTCCCTAAGGCATGGCTTTCTCCCCAGTAAAATTAAGCCTTCACAGGATAACATTTTTTCACAGGATAACATTTTTTTTGGCATTTGGGTGGTTTGGGGACAATCTTCTCTTCCTCATTCCAGTGTCTTTCCTGTCAAGTTCAATTCCAGAACTAAAGTCAACATCAATGGAAATGATAGCTGGAATGTCTTAAGCAGCAGGAGTAATGTGTAGGATAAAGTCCTGAGGTGCTATCAAATCACAGCCAAGATCAACGTTAAAACCTCACACGGCTCACATGACACAGCTGTGTTTATCGCCCTGGGGCCTTTATTCTGGGGCAGTTGGCAAGAGCCAAGGACCCAGCTTTGAAGGAAAGACATCCAGGTTAACCTGAAGGGCAAAGTTGGCAAGACCATGAGTCTAGAAGGCCCAAATGAAGAGGGAAGCTCCTTTGAAACAGAGTCAAAAGGCAGGCAAGCCACGGCTTTTCGAGGTAGCTGATGGCTGTAGCAGCATCCTGGGGTCCTAGAAACGGAGAAGGATCTTGGAGATCCCCGAGTTCAAACTTCAGTTCATGGATGTAGAAAGTGAGGTCCGGGGAATGGAAGGACATGGGTCAAGATCTCACAGCATGTTAGGAGCAGCGCCAGGGCTGGAACTGGGGCCCCTGATTTCAGGTCAAGCACTGCTTTCCCACCCCAGCACTGCTTCGTCCTGCCCTCCTCCACCTGGGGGCGGCGGTGAGTGTCACTCCTCTGCAGTTCCAGCTGCCAACGGTTTTCTCCTCTGCCAGCAACAAGGCCAGAGTCAAGGCTTTCAAGCTGCTGCCATGGACTTCGCCACAAGCTCATGGGAAAGATTCCAAAGTCTTTAATAAACACTACAATGTCATTGGCCCTACCCAAGGCTCTTTGGAAGAAGACGCCCAGTTCTTGTCCAAGAGGGAAGCAAGTGTCGTCTCAGAGCTGCAGGGCCCAAGGCCACGGCACTGGGGGGAGCTGTCTTTGGCCAAGCTGCAAGGGTGCCACAGAGACTGTTCTCCTCTGAGAGCTCTCTGCACCTGTTCCTTCCACAGTAAATGAATGGACACCGGACTTAAGGAAGAGCGAGGGGAAGTGTGCAGCTGACGTGGGGGCTGGCCAGGAGGGTGCACATTTGGACCCAGACAGCGGGAAGAAAGTATACAGGTGTCTGGCACAGCACAGGATGGAGACGAGACAGGAAGCCCTTTGAAAATGGCTGCAACGGGTGTGCATAAGCAAGAAACGCGTGCTTTTGGAACATGGCTCTGACCAAGACAGGCGCAGGGAGGATGTGTGCTGACAATGTCTGTGAGCAGACACAGCAAAGAAGGCTTATTTGGAGACCTCTATGACCGAGATAGGACACAGCGAACGGTTGTGTTTGGAACATGAGAGAGACAAGCCAGGAACAGTAAGGGGACATACTGGGAACAACAGAGAGTGTGAGGCACAGGCGAGATGCCAGGAAGCAGGAGTGCTGGAAAATGGAAGAAAAAAAAATCCCTCCACAGGGGATCTCTGGAGGAGAAGCCCCAGGGAACAAGGAGGCTGTCCTGTCCCCGGGCTCCCTCCAGAGCCACCTGCTGGAGCCCCAGAGGAAATCCCCGGGGGCCATGGGCTGCCTGGCAGAAGACGTGGTGGAGAGAATAGCAGGTGCGGTCCCACACAAGCGGCAGCTCAGAACCTGCCCTTTCTCCGAGAGATGGCTGTCTTCTGAGTCACTGCCCCGGGGCCTACGTATCACTGGGTTGAGCAGCCACCAAGGAAGAAGTTGCTGGAGCATGGCAGTGACTCTCCCACTGGCCACCACACTCCACTGCATCCCTGGAGAGGGGAGAGCAGAGCATCTCAGAGTTGGAACGGACACCCCTGATCTCTGTAGGATGCCCCTTGTGCCATACAGACGGGTGGTCACTCTCCCCCTGCCTGGCAACCCCCACTGACAGGCCAGGCCATTATTATTCTTGAACAACTTTAGTTGTCACAGAGAACTTATTCATGTTCGGCCAACATCTGCCTTCATACGATATCCACCCAGTGGAACTATTGTGCCCTCTGGACCCACTCAAAATTCTTCCCTCTACTAATCATATCCTCCAAATTTTCTCTTCTCCAGGCTACGCATTCCCATTTTCTTTAAGAGTTCATTATATACTATGGTTTCCAGATTATTGCTCATAATGATCACTGTTCTCTGAAAGCAATCCCTATTATGATTATCTCTCTTGAACTACAGTACCCGGAAAGAGTACAGATCTACACAGGGAGCCTGACTTGTAGATATCATGCACTTTTCATCAGCAGTTTGGTTTACTTCTACGTGAATGGGGTCAGCACTAACAACGGCAACATGCTCTCCACTTATAGGGAGCTTGTTGCTTGTACCTTTTTGACACAAACAGCTGTCCGTTCCTGTGGTTTTTTTATTTAATGGATGCAGAGTATTTATTTATTTATTATTTTATTACTTTATTTTATTTATGCTGAAATACAGGCCATTCCATTCGTCTGAGATAAATTTCATTTTATAGGCTTGGTATCATTTTAGTCGATTGAGACCATTCTAAATCATAACAATTGCAACATTCAAGATGTGATTATTTAGCATCCATTCCAGCTAGACTTTAAGGATTTCACAAGCACGCAGAAGGTCAGATAACCTATTGCTACCTAGATCTTTCAGTTTAGTGTCATTCTGCCTTCTAGGTCTTTAGTCTTCGGTCAAGATCAAAAACAAAGACAAACAAAAACAAAACAACCCTGTTGATTAGGGCAGGGCTAAAACAGAATCGTTTCAGGCACAGACTGTTTTCCCCGAGAAGAGTTAACACTCAGTGTGCCTGAGAATGAACCCACCCATGGAAGGCTTTATCCAGTGCCTTGCAGAACTCAATCTGCCCCGCAGTAAATCTGTCCTCATAATGAAATTAGTCAGCATGAACTGCTTTTTAATGAAAGAACACTGACTCTTGCTCACAAATCATTTGTGTAATAGCTGTTTTAGCATTTTGGTAAGGTCTATTTCAAGCTATGAGTCTATAGTTTCTGGAGTCTAGCTTTGGTCTTTTTTAAGAACTGGGGCAATATTTACTAGTCCCCAGGCTGCTCTCATTTCCCCCACCCTCAAAAGAGCACCAGTCAGAGATCATATCAACTAGTTCCTTTAATCCCCTGAGAGAGAATACATCTTGGCTCAGAGACAGTTAAATATTTTTCATGAATCCTGGGTGGCAACCTTCTCCCTATAATATTCTCGTCTTTCCGGCTGGAAGACTATTCTTATTTCAATAGAATATGCAAGATTTCTTCCCTAAATATTGAGATCTAACTATTTCTGGGTTTGCCACTTGCTCTGAACATAGCTTTTGATTCAGCTTTGGCTATATATTCCTTCTTCCCTGCTATTTTCAAGAATAAACTCTCTAGATAATTAAAGATGCAGCCTCAAGTCTTCACATATCTCCCTTCATTTTTGTGCCTTGATCATTGAACATATCTATTAAAAGAAAAGAAATAATGAATAGGAAGAAAGGAAGGAAAGAAGGAAGGAAGGGAGGCAGGAAGGGTTTCTCATTTCCCCTGAGCCACATTTCCTTTTTTATCATGCCTATTATTTCCACCATCCGCAACAACAAAAGCAAGCCAGGCATTAGGCTAAGTGTGTTGTATATGTATTAATCTGTGTATTTTATGCCCATTTAATAGACAAGGAAACTGAGTCTCAGAGAGTTTGAATAAGTTATTTACTCAGCTAATAAATGGTAGAATCAGACCTTGCATTTAGGTCATGTTTGATACCAAAGGCTGTGCTCTTAATTGTCCTGATATATTGTCACTCGTTGTCTGGAGAACTGCCACAGTCAAGTCTAGTGTTCACGTGCTGCTGCCGTGAGCGTTTCCCTGTCACGCTGTGACACATTCCAGGGCAGAGGGCGTCTGTGCAGGGGCTTGCTTGTATTATACCCATTCCACCTGTGGGAAGCCTGCAGGGTGATACGGCTCCTCCTTTTACTGAAACACAGTGTGACTGGGATGTTACCACAGGACTCGTTTCTGTAGACCCCTCCCGCTCACCGAAAGGGAATCTTTGTCCAGTGGCACATATATATTCTGTGATGCGGGGCTGGGGAGACCAAGTTGAAAAGGAAAAAAGTCCTACAAAAGGCAGGAGGAAAGTCAGGAGGGCACAGTCAGAGAGGAGCTGGGGGAGGCGATGGCAAAGAATGAGGACAGAGGAGGGACAGCGGGTGGGAGGCTAAGGGCTAACAAGAGCTACCAAGTTGGGTACGTGGAAGGCTCCGGAGCAGTCAGGGAGAATGGACGCAGTTCTTCGATAAGCGTTTCCCAAGGGCCCACTGGCTCCCTCATACAGTCCTTCCAGAGCGTCAAAACTAAAGGTCGAGGGGCGCCTGGGTGGCTTAGTCGGTTAAGCGTCCGACTTTCGCTTAGGTCATGATCTCGCGGTTCATGGGTTCGAGCCCCGCATCGGGCTCTGTGCTGACTGCCAGCTCAGAGCCTGGAGCCTGTTTCAGTCTGTGACTCCCTCTCTCTCTGACCCTCCCCTGCTCACGCTGTCTCTCTCTCTCTCTCCTAGAAATAAATAAAAAACATTAAAAAAACACAAAAAACTAAAGGTCGAGAAGACCAAGAAAGCGCTGTTGGATGCTGCACTCCTATTCAGGCTACATTAACGCACAGAGAATTGTACCGTGAATGTCTAACCAGAACCCTGGGCCCTGGGAACTAATGTCTGTTTAGCTTTCATCCACATGTGCCTCAGATGACTTGTTCCCTTTCCTGTGCCTCACTTTCCCCATTCTCCAAACGAGGAGGAGGATTACCTAGAAGGTCCTCTGCAGCTCTGACATTTTGATTCTATGAGCAGCAGAGATGGTGGGTGTCAGACATGGACCTTCTGATTGGGCACCAGCTGTGTGTGGGACTGTTCTCCAAAGCTGTGGGTAATTGCTTTGAACTTGGCTTTTAATATTCTATTGTTAGTATCTGATGCTTTAGATTCCGTATGGAGGGAAGAGGTTTTGCTGGAAACATGGGGAGGCTAATCTTTGGTTTGTGTTAAAGAATCCGAAAGACCTCAGTTTCTGAATCTGTGAAATTACACTGCAAAGCTGTTAAATATCTCTGGGGAGGATGGTACCGGGTAGCCGAAATACCACAACTTAGAATGCAGTGAGATCACAACTGTCTCTCCTCAAACATATGCTAAAGGAAAACATTGGCAGGGCCTCTCAAAACCCCTGATGGAAAACATCATTAAAAAAAGAACCTCCGACATTTAACACATGAGTTTTTCAAGTGCCATTTCTTGTTTTACTGGTTTCAGAAGATTTAGTAAAATCTTCTATCATTTTCAAAGCATTTTTGTATCTTTTCCCACACTTCACCTTTAACACAAACCGGTAAGGAGGGAGGGTACAGGGTATTATTCAATTTGAGAAGAGGAAGAAGGTCAATGCAAGGGCATGGGTTGATCAATGGGGGAGGAGGAGCTAGGACTACAAATCCTGCATTCTGCCTTCCAAACTAGGAATCCTGTCCAACTGGGGAATGTGGAAGTCATTTGCGTGGAGGGAAGAGCTTTGTGGTGACGTGTAACATTAACAGTTGATGAAATAGCCTGACGGTTACCTGTGTTCCAGAAGAAGGAGACTAGTGAAGCCATCTTTCGCAAAGTGGTCTAGAGGTTATGTGTATCAGAACTAACTTGGAAACCGACAATAAATACAGATTCCCAGGATCCACTCCTGACCTCTGTCAGCAGGAGTGAGAGGCCAGCGGTCAGGTGGGGAGAGCAGACATCTTCATTTTTAAAAAATGCTCTCGGGTGATTCCCAGGAGTCTAAGATTCTCTCAGCAGATGGATATCCAGTATTGTACTCACACGTGAGGCAGTGCATTGGGCCAGAGACTTAGGGAGCTTCGAAGAGAAAGTACAGGTGAGGGGCAAGAGCCAGAGCTACAGCATGAGGGCACTCAGCGGTGTTCCACAAGAGATCAGACTAGAAGCACTGAAATGCACCCAACAGGGCATTTTAGCAAAGTGGATGAGGGGATAGTTATGGCTTTTTATGACATGGATGATGAAATAAGACTTGGTGATGAATCATAAAAATGAGAAGTTAAAAATGCAAAGGAGGGGCGCCTGGATGGCTCAGTTGGTTAAGTGTCCGACTCTTGATTTCAGCTCAGCTCATGATCTCACAGTGTATGAGTTCCAGCCCCAAGTTGGGCTCTTAGCTGGCAGAGTGGAGCCTACTTGGGATTCATTCTCTGTCTCTCTCTCTCTGCCCCTCCTTGACTCTCTTTATCAAAACGAATAAACCTTAAAAAAATATGCAAAGAGCAATGTTTGGAATGTGTTCTTTATGTGATGAAAAAATAAAATCCTTGGGTACCATTAGCTTCTAGAAACTAAATGAATTGTCTATAAACAGTGAACACACTGACTCATATGCAACTATCAGTAAGTTCAACCACTCAAAAGGCAATGGCCTAGGTCAATTTCTTCATTTGTCTTTAGACTCACGATTAACCAGAAGAGAATACTGACTAGGGAAAATCCAGTATTTCCCAAAGACAGGATGTGTTCCGCAGGGGCTATGCCAAACAGTGGGCACAGAACTAAATAACTGGAATCATAGTAAGGATGTCTGATATCTCTTTAACGTATTCTGCTTATTTTATTTATTTATTTTTAATATACATGTTTTTTTTTGTTGTTGTTGTTTTTTGACAGAGAGAGAGAGAAAACACACACTCACATGCTTGAATGTACAAGTTGGGGAGGGGCAGAGAGAAAGGAA